AGCCTGCACAAATAACTAGCAAGCTTGAGCTTTAGTCAGTGCACACACAGACACACAAACAAACACACAAACAAACACACACACACACACACACACACACACACACACACACACACACAAAGATGAAGCCAGGGGCAGCACAGTAAGACACCTCTCAGTTACCATGGGAACTATATACATACAAACCCCCCCCCCCCCAAACACACACACAGTGTACTTTGGCCAGATTGTATGAGAGGCAAACTTCAACATGGAGAGATGATGTAACAGAGCAGCAGGACCACTTACAGGAACAAATCTCCTGAGGAAACAGAGATAATCCTGCAGGGCTGTTATGACACAACTTCATTTTCTCTGAAACTAACATGAAACTTTAAAGACTAAATATTACAGAGAGAAATGTTTAAATAACAAAGTGATAAGTGTTCTTCATTTCAGGCCTGAATGCTTTGGCCTGTATGAACCATGCAGCTTTAACCAGAAAGTCAGGAATCACTTTTTCTGAGAGAGTTAAGTGTGGAACTTGGTCCCTCTTGTGGTTTGAGGTGGATGTTACAAGCATGTAGCAGCACACTGATGAAGGTGCCCAGTCTCATCCCTTCATGCAGTTGTTGCTGTCCATTGTGTCTTAAATAGGAAATAAAATGGCTACCAAATGGCTATTAAAAGCTCAACAATGGCTACCAAACTGAACTCAACAATTGGTGAGATTGTTTCTTTTAATTAAAAAACTCAGGAATAAAATCAAGCTCAACAGGAGCCCAGTTTTACTTTTTTACTTTTATTACACCTTCAAACCTTTTAAATTACATGTTGCATTGATCATCAATGGTTTTATCAATCATTTGATAATCATTTTTTTATTTCTGTCCAATCTAAAAAGCTTGAAACATCCCTCAATCTGATTTTGTCTGCGATTGCACATTTCCCTTTTCCTTCTAAGATGCATCGTTTGATAATATTGTTGCTCGAGCAATTGAATTTCTACATGTGGAAGTTTTAGTAATCATTAAATACACTGTGATTTTTATTTATTAATTTGTTAGAAGCTGTTATCTAAAATGACATACAGAACAGTCCAATCCACAGCGGGAGCCTCATCACATGATAACATGACATTTGTTACTATATTTGTTTCTGTCAGAGAGAAAACCACAATTAACCTAAAATTGATTTTATTATCACTTTATTAATTCCTCTCTAAAGCCCTAAAACCTCTAGCAATTATTATTCAATAGGATAGGAAATCTCAAATAAAAAACCTTTGAAAAAAAATGTTGAACCTCACAAAGATGAGAAATTTCCAGTAAAGTCACAAAAACTATCATGCTATTATATCTTAAAACTTACTCTGTTCTGCATCGCAAAGAAATGAGACCTCGCACAACAAATAAATCAAAAACGTGCCTGTGTGCCAACATGTAGGAGATAAACAAACAGCTGCCTATGAAGCAAAGCAATAATTATTCCACAAAATAGATTCCACTTGTGTGTGTGCGTGTGTGTGTGTCTGTGTTTGTGTGTCTGGATGCATCTTTGTGTGCTGGAATAGTCAAGGTAACCTCATGTTCATTTACCCAGCGGGCCCTCGGTCGTAGCCTCGTCTTGCTGAAAGCTCTACCTGCCTCTGTGTAAGAGCCATTTAGTGGCACCATTAGCAGAGAGTTGTTCTGACTTGAAAAGGCTCTCTAACGTCCCGTCTGAAGAGGAAGCACTGAGCCGTTAAACAGGCCGAGTTTTAGCCTCGGTGCTGAGTTTGTCCTCTACAGCAAGGCAGTGAGAGACAGAGGACACAGGAGACATGACATGTGTCTGTCTTCTTTCCCATTTCTGCTGTAACCTGCTGTTTAATTCTATGAAAAATGTAGATTTTCTTTGTATTTTTAGTGTCATTTCTTCACTTCATACCATTGAGTCGTACAGCAGCAGCCAGAGATGCACGCTTCACTGATCCCAACTATGTTCACCAGGGGGCAGCATCCACCCACAAAACTCAGATGTGCTGCATGACTGACAGTTCCTGAGTTAAGCTGTTAGATATTTCACTCACAATAGTGTTGTGGATTTGAAGGGAATTTACGGCAGAGCCCAACCTTTGACGTTTTATTTTCATAGTCACATACAGACGTGTGTGGACGCACCTGTCGTCATGTCACTCTTTCAGAAATAAGTGCTGCTCCCTTGTCTGTGACTCTATATAGAAAGAAAACAACCAAGGGATTTTTTATACACTGTAATGATTATCGCCTCCCTTGTAATCTCCTCTCAACGCTATAATTTCCACGGTCACTTCAGCCAAGAGCTAACAGGAAGAATAATTCACCTCTGGACCGTGTGAGATGACTAACTTTACTGATAGAGCTTCGGCCCTGGGTATTAAAAGAAGAGATAAATCTCAGTACCTCATGGTTACTTGTTCTATTTAAAGCAACACTATGCAACTGTTTACCTAAAAACAGCAGCTTCAAATTAGTTTGATAGTTCACTGACTTGGAAAAGAGAGAATGGTGCAAACTTTGTTCCCCCTTCCTCACCCTGAACGTCTATTCTTACTCAACTTTGGTTAGTAGGTTTGATTACCTGTGAGAAGTAACTGACTTTCAGAATGAGGACCAGCAAGTTCAAAAGTAACACTGAGCTGTAGATCAGTTCAAAAATACTTTATCTCCAATGTCTTGTGAGGTAACTAAGATATCCATCCATCCATTGTCGATACTGTTTCTCTTATTCAGGGTGGCGGAGGGCGCTGCAGCCAGTCCCAGATGATATTGGTTGAGAGGATACATCCTGAACAGGTCGCCAGCACATCGCAGGGCCAATATAAAGAGACACACAACCATTCACGCCTACAGACAATTTAGAGTCTCTGTCTTTGGACTGTGAGAGGAGGCCAGAGAACCCACAGAAATCCGGGATTCGAACCCGAACCCTTGTTGCTGTGAGGTCACAGTGGTAACTTTTAAAATATCAAGAACTGCAAACAGAGTTCGGTGTATTTGTTACAGTGGCAGCTATTCTGGATCAGGAAGCATGTGGAATATCCACAGTTCTTTTGTGAGCAGGACTACACATTCACAGTTTTAGTCAAAGATTGATAGACAACTGCTCAGAAATCGAAACTAACCAAATGTATCACCACATGTGGCTGCAGGTGGCGCTGTTTCTCAGTAAATGTTACATAGTGTTGCTTTAATTTGATCTTAATCACCACCTTACCCTGATATACTGTATGATCAGCCTCCATGATGTGTGTTTACTTTTGCAAATCCGTTATACCAGTGTGACAGTGAGTAAGATACACAGAAGTATCCTCATGGGTCTCAGTGATCTGCCTCCATTGGGGGGTGGATGTTGTATTGTGCTATCCATCCCCAGAACTTCAGCGCTCTGTATTAAACCACTGGTCATGTATCTCCCAGATTTGCTGTTCATCAAGGAACAGTTGTAGGGCCCGTCTGAACTTTTACTCTCCAGGTAACTGTGGATAGTCAGCCAACCTCCTTTCTCTACACGTTTAGTCGTGTGCTGCTTTATGGAGCCGTCTGAGAGATTGTGGGAGCCCTGAAACCAGTGCACGTCTCCGTCAGGGTGGACGCTGTCGAAGGTGCAAGTGGGACCGTCGCTTGTTAAAACACCCTCCACCATCTTAGCACAATCTGAGGGGAGAACCAGAGAAGAGATTTGAAATCTGATGAACAGAACGTTAGGGACACTTGATAATTTCATTTAGGCATTAATAACACCACATTAATAACACCACATTAATAACACCACATTAATAACACCACATTATTAACACCACATCTCACATATTTATCAAACCTTTACAAATCACAGGGGGGCAGAAGTGGAAAGTGCATTTAATCCTTTTCTGTGCTTAACTGCACTTTTCATGTACTACTTCAATAAGTACATTCGTCTTGTACTGATAAATGTTGTGCTGTTCACTTCACTTCCATTATTATGCCATTAATGGTTAATTTATTTATTCAGATTTTACACACTGAGTGCACGATGAGCTTTGTATAATATATGATGCAGGCTTGAATACATCAAACTGGCCAACCTGATTGGAAGTTCATATCTGCTTGATCAGATCTTACATTAAATTGCATTTTAATAAGTAACTCTGGCCATTTATAATGATTTGCTACTTATAACTAATGTCTTCATCAATAGACAATGAATTGTATTGATGCTTTATACATTAGCAATGACAAATTCATTTTCCTGGTGTTCATCTTGTGTCATTTTTCTGATAAGCCATTAGTGTGCAGTTGTAAATAATGTGTGTGTGAAGTTTTTGAAGAAGAATAGTGCACTCACGTCTTCCTGATGATGATGTAACTAGCTGGATACAAAACTAATATCAAGATGAAGTACTTTCTAAAAACTTTGATCTTTAAAACATTAACACACTATATATATTATATATTATATCCACCTTACACCTCTGTATTTATAGAGAGTGGTGACAAATGGTTCTCAGCTACAGTGTATCAGTAATATTAATCTAATACAAAATGTATAAAATATAACACTGTCCATTGTGTGTAATGGCAGATTTTAGAGGAATTTATTCTATGATTAATTATCTTTATACAACTTAAGAACAGCTCTTGTTCTGGAAGTACACTTCCCAATCTTTTTCTGCATTCATGTTTCAGAACATCCTTATAAAAAGAGTTTTGAGTCTGGCACCACACTGACCAGTTGTGCAGTAATTCTTGACATCACTAATGAAATATGTTTTTTTCTGAAAACACAGTCGATCTCATATGGATTGTGGCTTCTAAATGAGCATATAACATCGTTACACAATCACGTAGCTTGTGTTAAGTCTACCTTGGATGGTTAAAATATTCTGGCTGATAATAAAAAGTTCTATTCAGAAATAGAATAGGATTTGTTACTTCCAGAACCATAGTTCTGGGCTTTATCACTGCATTTTATTTAGAGGCACTCCGTGATTTAAGCAACACTTGTTGTAAACATGATTATTGTTTAAAGTAAACTCCACAGGGCTCCTTTAAAGGAACTGAATAATTCTACAGCAATTGAGGTAGCCAGTATTTTTATATGTTCACCAGCAGTTTTATAGATGTTGTTAGGACACAATACTGTGTGATTAAATGAGAATAAATGTGGACTCTCACCCTTTAACTCCACAGTCGTATATTTGTGCAGAGCTCCCTTATTGGAGTGAAGTTTGCACCTGTAGCGCTGCAATTTCCCCCTGTCCTGCTCTGGCTGCACATCGGGAAAGATGAGGGACAACTGTCCTTCTTCATACTCACAGTGGAAGTCAGTTAATGTGCTACTGTTGTATGAAATGTTTCCTTCACTGTTCAGGGAACACAAGGGTGTTTTCATGTGGGACCACTCCATATGTTTGATTGACAATCCATTTGGAGACGGGGACACTCTGCACTGTAAAGTAACCTGTTTGCCACAGTCTGTAGTAATGTGGGGACTCACACTTAGTCCCACCAGCTCTGTAGAGAAAGAGACAAATATTAGTTCAATTAAAAAAAACAAATCTTGTATAATTATATACACATTAATCCAGAAGACTACTTGAATACAAAAATGTGCATTGTCTCTGTTTGCTTGTGTAGATCTGCACTACTTGTAAATACTGATTTCTTTTGGCCTGTTTGAGGTTCACAAATTAATTTTGGGGTCTACCAGAATATATTTATTTGTCTGTTATATTGCTACAGTGTTTTTAGTTCTCCTCCTCTGAAACGTTTTGGTCAGCGGGTAAATTATTTTGTGATTGGTCAGCTGCATAGAGTGTGTGTTGGATTTATGCTGCATCTTTCTCAGAGGCTTCCTGATCAGCTGTACAGCGACAGCAACAATAACGTTGGATCTGGTGTGAAATATTCAAGCCTGACTGGAGCAGGACATTTCAAAGTAGGTTATTTCTGTCACTCTGTAATATTATAATTATTTAAAAACTGTATGGAGGCTGATTACATGTCACTTGGTGAAGTATCTGCTTTATGGATAATACATTTGGAATGCAAACAATATTTCCAGGTGCAGTGTACACATGCACACACTTTCATTTATTTGCGTTAAGAGGCGGACTCCATTCACCATGGACTTTGGCCTTTGTAATCTAGCAGGCATTTAATATACACAACAAAGGGAAAGGAAATGGAGAACAGTCACATTAAATCATTTTATGAGAGTATTTTAAAGAGAATTATTTACAAATTAGATTTTTTACATTATTAGTACCCTGTTTTTACAGATATGTATATGACCAAAATAGAAAACTTTGAATAACAAGAAATGAGGACAAAGACGTTACATTTAATTCGATATAAAAATGGGCACTTTTGAATAAAAAAGTCACCAAATAGCCGAATCAAACAGTTTAAATCTGTAAAATCAGCCTAATCAATCAGCCAATTGATAATCTCATCAAGTGTCTTTCTGTTATCAATGACACTGCTAAACCGATATGAATATTCTGTCCTATTCTTCTTATCTTACCCCCCAAACAGTTTGAATTAGTTTGAAATGGTGTCACATACCTTGTGTTGTCAAAGTGAATACAGGTAAAAGCCAGAGTAGTGCTGTGAACTCCATTGTCAGCTCTTTGGCATTTCACTGCACCAGGGAGAACAGGCACATGAGAAGTGATCATGGGCAGGTTGAAACATTGGTCTGAACACGTTGATTTACCTGAGACTGAAAACTCTTATAGCTGAGTGTAACTGACCTCGGGAGGGTTGATGCTTCTCTCCAGCTCTTCACTGGTGCTCGTAGTCTCCTCTCTCCTTCACAACAGTGCTGTTGAATGTTTGTGTCCTCCTTCAGACTTCTCCCTATGAACAGAATGTTAATGATTAATGGGAAGGAAACCGAATGTCAAAACAAAGGACAGGAAGTGTTTTTGTGTGTGTGTGTGTGTGAGATGTGAGTGACAGAAAGTGAAAGAAAAGGGGCGTGAAGGCCTATTCACGAAGCTGGAGACACTGCCACAAGCACAGACTTGTATGATGAGCTTTGATGTGTTGCAGCTTCATTTCACTGTTCAAACTCCATGGCAACAGCCCCAGGGGAAGAGCTTTTCATCTATCGTGTCCCGAAGAGCCACCCTCACTCAGTTTAAGGGTTTCATTGTGTCTTATTGCAAGTTCAGTCATAAGACAGTTTATGGGAAGCAGTCACGTAATCATGGAAGAGTGAGAAAAATACCAGTAATGCACAGAACTACTGGTGTGTGTGTGTGCGTGTGCGTGTGTGTGCGTGTGTGCGTGCGTGTGTGTGTGTGTGTGTGTGTGTGTGTGTCTGTGTGTGTGTGTGTGTGTTTGTACGCCACATTCATATCAGATTACATTTCTTTACATGTGAATCCTAAACCTGACCCTACACAATATTGTCCATTTCTAAAAAGCCAAAGGTATTAGTATGATTTTACAATATAGCTTTAATTCCAGAATCATCAGGTTTGCCACGTACTTAACTGACTGTAGGTATTTCGGAAACAGCACATTTACCCTATAAGAGCTTCCTGTAGCTGCTGACCCTGCAGGTCCATCTGGTCTATTGTATTAACAGCAACAATAAACCACTCAATATTAAATCAGAAAAGTGTCACAGCTTTCACTCCTGCATCTGTTGGCAGATTTATCGAGTCCAGACTGAGATTGTATATATTATTTTTTCTATATTGGTGACTATCATAATTTGTAGACATATATTTCTTGTCATTTACTGCTCAACCTGCACAGGAGAGAAAGTTCATGTTTTGCCCATCCTGTAATCCATCCGTGGTTCTGTGCACATAACACGTTCACACTCTCATATTGCAATGAGGAAATAACTTGCTGTCAAACTCTCAGGCCTTCCCTGTCCAGAGTGATGGCAGCGTTGCAGCTTATTTGCACAGTGTGTCCAGTTTTATCCTGTACTTAATTGCTGTGGGGAGAAGATTACCCATAATGCTGAGATTTATCTGTGGATTTAACAAGATTTGCAGTAAACCGCTGAAGTTGTTAAGTATCTGTTAAATTAAGTCCGACAGTAATTCTACGCTAATGAGAGTCCAGTTATGTTCGAGTCCGGCTCCGGACCTATTGCTAAGATTAGTGAACTAGATATTGTTGCAGTAAAGTGACAACCACAGATTATGTATGATGACAACCTCACATTTTAAAGCCTGGAAATTGCTGAAGTTAGATAGACAAGCCCCAAATCGCAGGTTTATGGTCTAATTTCCACCAATGCAAAAATATTACTCTGCTCAGTACATGTATATGATTTTTGTAGAGCAAGTTAACACCCAGCAGAAGTTGTAAATGACAGAAACAGAGTGTCTCTTGAACCCTTTGGGGGATTACTGCATTACATGAGCTGTTGATCTTCCATTGCATCAGAGCCTTGAAGATTCTGGTACAAGCAGCATTCATAATTCCTGTATCTAATTCCAGTTGAAGACTTTTAGCTGTTAACCCAGCCCCTCCCCCAAAGCAGCACTAAAGCTCAGCCTCAACAAGATTTAAAGAATCTAAGCTGCATGGGTAAGAACCCAACTCAAAAAGTTCAGTGAACGTGTTGCAAGTTTCCATCTGAAATGTCACTTATGGTAACTGAACAGATGCCTAAAGCTAAAAAGAAGCAGCTGTGTTGTACAACTATTAATCATTATTACCTCACAATGATGTGCTTGGTAGACTGATTAAAGTGAAGATTGTGTCACTGAATGCTGTGTGCAGTAAATGGTAACAAGTTTCCCCAAAATTGTGAAGGATGAGCACATGCACTAGTTTGCTGTGTTTTCAGGAAGTCAGTCTCTCTAACAGATAAAGAGGAAATTATAACAATCACATGTTTGAGGGAAAAAAACAAAAACATTTCACAGTGAAAAGGCTGTGAAATACACTTAGAAGACATAGAGGAAGAGGTCAAGTTTGTGGTGAAAAGAGCTGATGAAGGTGTCTCGGTGCTGATCTCTGCAGCGGAGTTAATACGTCACTTTCTGCTGGTGTTATGGGTCTGTCAAAACCAGCGGAAAATTGCTGTGTACTGCTTAGATAAGTCATTGCTCCTGTTTAGACGTTTAAATTATTCTCACCTGGGTCAGCTGCTTTACACTCTCTTTGTAGACATGTAGACAACTTGTTGGCTTTTCAAAAGACTGTCTCACGTCTAAAACCTTGTTGCTTACAAAGATTTATGAACAACTGGAGCAATAACCTCTCGCCATAAACCAGGCAGCTCTTTATGAATTACCATTCATTTGACAGGTAAATACACAGTATAATATTCATGCAGGATTTGTCCCAGACAACAGGCCAAAGAATCATAAACACATCAGTGATTCCACCCAGAAAAACAATCGTCTCAGTTCTCAGCTCTGCCCAGTATTGTCAAGGTCAGGCTAAGGTTCTTTTGGTTCTCCCCACTCCTACTGCCACACCTCAAACTCACTTGCACTTTGACCGTTTCCTTTCTTAGCTCTAAGCCCAACAACTTGACGTTGACAGCAGTCTCTCCAGTTTAACATAGAGAAGCAAAGCTTGCTGAGCAGGTCTATTAAATGCACCCTAAGCTGAGCTTTACTTCTTATTTTTCTCCAACCCATGTCCCTTCAATCATCCTATGTGTTATGTTTCCAGACATCAGTGGCATGGGGGTATTACTAAGTGTAGCTATTAGTGATGACTCGTGACATCAAAAAAAAACCTCCCCACAAAGATCATTGATAGCCACTCCTGCTCCGAAAACTGTAAGTGAGAGGCGTTCAGGAAAAAAAGAGTAAGGCTCTGAATTGTGGTGGATTTCATTCTCTGGAGAAGAGGCAAAGCAGTTTGAGCAAAAAAAATACGTTTCTTTGTTCGAGTGGCTGCGTGCAGATAGCAAATGACTCGCCGCTCAAATAAAATTGAGCTACTTTTTCCAAACTGTCACAGGAGCTGCTCAGTGGATCTCTGCAGGGAGGTGATTGTAGGCTTCAACTGTAGTGTGGTTTTATGAGGTACAAAAGCCTGAAGAGGGTGGAAACACACAGCTCTCTGATTCTAAAATCTGTATTGAGAAAACAGGTACAGTAGATGGCAGTAAGCCAAAAGAAGAAGAAAATAACAAGGAAGTACTAACCAAAAGTGAACAAGACTGTTTTTGCCAGCCATATCTTCCAACTGGCAAATTATTACCTGAAGCTGCTGATAGCTTATCATTAAGTTTTGTCATCCGTGGAGGGTTCACCCAGCCAACTTTGCATTTCACATTACGAATACTAACCCTAACCCTGATGTCAACCTTCCCAGAAATGCTAGCGCACTACACTAATGTGTAGTCCATTTGCGTAGGCTCTCCATAGATTCTACTTACTCTCTCACCCAGATGATTTGAGTTTCTCTGTTACTGTGTTATTCATTTAACGTAAATTGGTGCCCGGTTGTATGACATAATTAGGTCAGTACCATTTAAAGTACAACCTTACCCATGAGCTTCAACTCCAGACTGGAAACTGGCGTGTTTGCTCTGCCATCCTCAGATCTCACCAGTATACGACACGACTCACCTTCCACAAAACTCATGTCTCCACTTCTGTTTGAGCCCTCAAACTCCGAGGACGTCTCCATCACACACAATCATCAATCACTTTTATGTGCTGACCTGGAAGCTTCGCTGCACTCATAAAAACACCACCCAAACCCAATCTCCCCCTATAAAGACTACTATCACAGTTAATGTCTGTTGGAAGGTTTATTGGAGGGCGCACCACGAGAGCACTCACGAACGGGAAGAACTGTCCTGATGGGTTGAGTTGAGATGTGCACATTTTAGAATTGAACAGTAATGACACACATGATTTGATTTACGATCCGTTAAAGATAAAACATCTGACCCAGAAGCTTCATTCATGTCTCGTCTAATAAAATGAGATCTGGAAAAAGAAATCCCTTGAATAACTGTCTGTTGGCATTTATTAAGATGGTTTTTTTTTCAATTCACACATTCCACATCTGGTGATTTAATAGGAATATGCATCTGTCAACATTTTGAGCAGGCGCAGGCCCTGGCAGACTCTGCAGGGTCCTGTCATTCGTGCATTCCAAACATTTGTTTACAAGCAAAAGTTTATGAGAGTTGAGATAAGAACAAGGAGAATTGTAAAATCAACAAACCTGAGTTTAATAAATGAGACTACAGCCAGTTTAGAGGCTTTTTCTGTTTTGCTTTGTTTTACACTGTTTTTCATTGCATAAATCATTAAACACTATCAGGATCAATTTACTACAACTATTAGTTATTCAATTTTTATATGAATGAAATGATGATGAATTATAAGAACTTTATCTTAGCCCAAAATTATTACAAAATGTGTGTGTGGCTTGCAATGAGACCGTACATAAAGAAAGATGACACCACAGCTCCCAAACATGAGGCCAAAGCCTCTCAATGGCCACCTGGTGGTTGGCTGCGGTATAGGTCATAAATCCCAGCTCCTCTTAGTGGGATGTCAGATGGGACATGGTCCAGACTATTTTGGCTTCCTTTCTGGATAGTATTAAGTCTGCCACCCAGTAGACAAGTTGGATCTTTCCTTTTCATTGTATTTTTTATGTATTTTAAGCTTCTACTTGATGAAAGCAGATCTGATGTTAATAAATGATTCAGTATGCCCTCCCCTGACCTTTTCAATGAAAAATAGCAAAAACTCTTCACTGGTGACAGAAAATGTAGATAGGCAAGGTTAAAGCTGAAAAGCACATTAAAAAGCAAGTTTGCCAGAGCTGAAAAAGGGAGTAACCATGTAATTACAGCAGCTATGCATATGATGCTCTGTTCACTGCCTCCTTTAAACACAGAAATT